AATTCGACCAAAGTAAGTCACCATTAGGGGAACGCACGGGCCAACGTGTCATTTAACGCCAGCATCATGGAGCCAGACGGCCGAGTAATTAGCACTTCCAATTCCACCACGTGAGATCAAATTTCAGCAGGCCACAGCCCGCACGCCGGTCGTCAGGCCATTAACGCACAAGCGTACAATTAGCCTCGATAGAGGAATCGTTATTCGTCATAATTGTGCAGCAGTATAGTGGCTGTATCCTATAAATACTGCAACTCCGTGTGCATGAATTACACATTGTTGCGATGTCTCTGATGGAGCAAACGCGACGGATTTCGAAACGACAGGCAAATAAAAAGTAGTGTCCCAACGATAACCTCTTCCTCTTTTCGACTTTTCTACGCTTGCCATGCAGGACTTGCACTCCAAAATATTACGCGGACGCATCGCATCGCACCTCCTTCTCGCATGGCCCGAACGAAGCAAACTGGTTAAATAAGGCTCCAGATTACGAGTCGTCTGACAGTGATTAGATCAATGCTTATGACGAAGTCAGGATAAACTTACGTCAGCTCACGTCAGGTTTGTCAATAGAAACATCAATATGAGACGTGAAACACGTAGGAACACTACAAGCTATGTAATCGGAAGCACGAAGGCCGACTGCCACGCTTATTTTGTACACCTGCAAACTGAACGGGGAATAAATGAAGATTAAGGGGTGGTGTGAAGGTGAGGAAGAGTGAATGAGACGAGGGGCTGAAAAAAATGAGACTTGCCCGAACAGATGAGAATTGCCGCTGGAGGGCTGTGAACTTGCAGAACGGTAGGCCAGCTGGCTGACTGCGACAAGAAGGAGACTCGCGACGGAACGCGCGTGATACCACCGAAAGGGAGGGGCTGGATTGCAGAGAACAAGACGCAGGAAGAATACCAGCAACAGCCCAACAAAGACATGCCCATTTTGATTCCTAAAAAGCATTAAAAGGTGACAGGGCGTTTACAGTGTACAAGAGGGGCAAATGCGTCGGGAAAGAAAGGGTGTGAAAGGACGAAATGGGTACTTTTTAAGACAGCTATTGGACACCACCAAAACTGGGAAACATAATAGTTACAAAGTCCTTATGCCAACCGGGTTTGCCTTTATTTTATGAACCAAAAATAGCGAGAAGACTTCGCATGCCAAGTCAAACGCATTAGAAAACTCAAAGATTCGTTTAGGAAATCTCCATAGAAACATTGTCATCATTTTAGCTGCATGGCAACAAAACAATGGTAAAGGTTTTTAGCGGCTTCTTTAATCTCAACGCCGAAATAAACTACAAGGGAGAATAGCAACTCAAAACCACATTTGTAAACGTATTCCACCTGAAACAGTCTTACATATTAGAGGTGCTCAATGCTGGTTAAAGGTGACCAGGTTGAATAAACTTGAAAGCTACACTTGACGCGAATAGTCGAACGCACAGCAGTAATGGTGACAAATGTGGCCAGATCAATGGAACAGTTTTCTAGACACAACCCGTTTACACCTTAAAGTTCTAAAAGAGAAGCGAGAAAGTAGGTCATTAACAGTCTATTTCCTGACTTTCTGGCCCAACCTTTACCAAGAGCAATGTCCTCACCCTCCTCATTTAGCGCCGAGACTTCCCTTGAGAGAGGCAATAAGCCAAGTGCCGAGATTGCTGATTAATACCGTTTCTCCTCTCAGTGTCACTGAGCCTAGATCGGCGGTCCATATATTTTCAGCATATTCCCGATCTTAATCAACAAAGCAACGAGCCAGTGGTGCAATGCTAGAGCGGTACGCCCAATAACCAAGCGTTCCGGATTCGAATTCCCGGTGATCCACACCTAGGATTGGGTATTACTAGGTGATGACGGCTAATAAGCCAGAAATCGCCATTCCGGTCTCCCATTGCTTTGTCGGATCCCCTTCATCCTATCCTATTAGGTACTATGCGGCTGCCTGCACGGGGTCTAAAGTGAGCTCTAGGACAAAACCGAAACGTACATTGTTCCACACCTAGATCGGCAATATCCATATTTTCATAATATTCTCGATCTCAAACGACAAAGCAACGAGCCCGTGGTGCAATGGTAGAATGGTAAACTCAATGATCAATGGCTTCGGGTCCGAATCCCCAGTGATCCACCCATGGGATTGGACATGACTGGCAGATGACGGTTAATATGCCAGAAATCGCCATTCCAATCTCCCTTTGCCCTGTCGGATCCACCTCAGACGGTGGGAGCACCCCCCATCATCTACTGACGAAAACATACCTCCGACTCGCCGTACCAAGCAAGGCCGTCATGTACACTGACCCGAAAGGTTTGTGGCTAAATTAAAAACGCCTTCGCTTCATTTGGCGTCAGTGGTACATCGTAGAAAACGCGCAGACGACGGGATTCTGGGTAAACTGCAAAAACCCCGTTGGTCTGCGAATAAACTACCCAAGTGTGCCAATTCTCCCACAATCGTCGTTTAGGTACTGCAACTAATGGTAAGTGCACGGTACCCAGCATATTCGAATAACTGCCCTGGGTAAGGGTTCCTTATAAGCAGTACCGCCGTTTACCATAAATTAACTTAGTGAACTATAAACGCAACTTAACCAAAGAAAACTGTATAATGAGCTAATATATAAACATTAAATTTAGGAAAATTCCTTTTGAAAACTTCAAAAGATGGATTGGCGAACATACGTTTGTTTTCGATAAATTCTCGTCAGGCCTTTACATTTATATGGTACGAGCACACATTTCAGCATGGTTAGAAGAGGGCCAACTAAAGGGTATAAACAGTTCTATTTTAGCGCACCTGGTGGACTCAGACCATCACGTGGAAGCCAAGGAGGCTTTCCGAGTGATCTACAAGGTACCCTCAAACTATGCAAAATATTTTGGACAGCGTCTGTTCGCAACCCCAGAAGCGGCCGCCATCAGGCTATGCCGACCGGTCCTTTGCGCCCAAAAAAAAACTTCGTCGCGGCTGTGCAGTTACCATTGGCGAAAGCCGCTAATCCAACAGCCAGCAGCTTATCACCTCGGTTGAATGCCAGTCCCCCCTAACGCTGATCAGATTTTGATCCCGTCCCCCACTTCCCCCTCCCCTGACAACCGTACTATGTTTTATACCAACCCGCATAATTTATTAACTAATTACCATATAAATGAAAAGGCCTGACGAGAAATTATCGAAAACAAACGTATTTTTGCCAATTCTTCTTCTGAAATTTTAAGTGGGAATTTACGCAAATTTAAGGAAATCCAAAGAATAATAAACTAATAAGTTAACGTAAACTTAACTAAACTAAAACTAATCAAACTAACCTAAAGTACACTAAACCAGAGAAACTAAAATTTAACTTCTCTGGGTAAGGGTTCCTTATAAGCAGCACTTAACTAACTAACTAATAAAACTGAATAATACACCAAAACTAAGACTTAACAAATACGGAAGAAGAAGAAGCGATCACTGGAATAGTGATTACTGTTCCAGTGATCGCTTCTTCTTCCGAACTGCTTCCTGGAACTCGGATATTCTCCTCGTCTTAACAAATACTTAACTTAAACAAAACTAAATAAATTAAGTACACTAAACTAGACTAGACTAGAAAATAAATTCAAACTAATAAATCTAAATAATCAAGTAACAAAATAATAACTAAACAAAACTGAATAGTAAACTTAACCGAAATAAGTCGTAACCTATATAGAGAAAACTACAGTGTTGCTTATAAGGAACCCTGCCCTGAATTGATACAGGCAAAAAAGCCTGTGCAATAGTAATACTTAGAAGATTGAAGAGATAAAGTACTTAGCAGAGGTCTATAAAATAAATCAGGAAGTTAAAAATGCCACGCTATGACGCGATGTCGAGTATAAAGCTGGGGTATAAAAGGAAAGGGGGACTAAAAGAAGTGACGTCCTAATGTTATTAGTCACACTGCGGTTACTAAAAAGGATTAAAATAAAAATGCAATGGCCGAAAGAGCTCACATCCAGTCCGGAAGAAGAGGCAGATGGATCCACTTGCCGTTCGTCGTGTTTATATCACGCAAAGCGAAACGATCAACACTGAGGATGAATGCGATTGAGAGGAAACGTGTGCCACGAGCACGAAAATGGTCGTTCGCGGGGTGGGCAATGATCATCACAGCCAAGAATAGAGAGAGGGCACTTGCACTGAGGAAGTACCATGTCAGCTCCTCCCACTCAATCATACTGCTTGCTTTCAGACATGTTATGTGCAGTCCAATGATGGAGAGGGCTGAGACGGCTAACATTCTCACTATTGAGGCATAGGTCCGGTCCCCAGTTGTCTGTTGTGGTAAATCAGAAGAATCAGCAAGCAACTGCAAAACAAAAGCAAGAAGAAGGAGGTAGGCTGGGCCGCCTACTGCGCAATGGCATTAATAGGTTGTTGTAATTCTACACCCCATTCGGATTAGCGCGTCGGTTTGAACCAAGGAGCAAACGTGCTGCTCGCACTGTTTAAGCTCCAGGGGAACTTGACCCTGAATGCAATCAGTGCAAGGTCGCATTGCAGTGGTGTGCTCTGACCTATCATGACGGAATGCGAATGACTCCGTTTTTTTTTTCGGGGTTCCGATCAAGACCCAAGGATTCAAGGCACAGACATGAAGATCAACTCCGGGGTGAATAGTGGCGAAAAATGCGTCATGAATGGTACTCCTTGGCCCCTTATCTATGTCGGTAATAATTACCGAGCAGTCGGAACACTAGTAAAAGCAGACTACTGGTCCCAGCACTTGCCCTTTCTTCTTCTTCCTCTTCCTGGGACAATGAACACGATACCACTGGAAACGTACAACCCATATAGGGAGAAATATAAACGGTCCAGTTCGTTCACAAATTCACTCAAATGTCAGTTACTAACCCTGTAATCTAGAAAGTAGTCACTCGGAAAGGAATATGCTCGTCCCTACGTCTGGCAGAAGTTGAAACTCCGGTTACTTCTCAGAAGTTGCATATGGTAAACATGCAAATTTATATGTATAGTTTAGGTCCTACTGAGTCTTGTGCTAGTATAGGTCCGGGTCTGAGCACATGCCCCAGATTGCTGCAAATCGTAAATCTGCCGACAATACTTTTCTACCATTCGCGGATGGACGGAGATAAAGAATGTTTCTTCGGCTTTCTCAGTTGTTAATCCTAGTGAAGGATGAGGTGCAAAACCAGGCCTCTGATCCTTCAAGACAAAGGCTGTTCAGAAGTAGAAGATGCAATCACTGGAACATTGCGTTTATTTGCCTGATGTTTCGAATTATGGATTGAACCCTTCATTAGAGATTGACACAGAACGGGGTGATGCATGTACAGCCCGAAAAACACATTGTAAAGACAAGAAACGGCTGAAGTCTTTTATCGGATCTAGCACAGTTGTGGGCTAAGCAACTATGTCGGATAAACCTGGAGATTACTCCGGACGCGAATTGCCGAGCATGTAACAACGGTGCGAAGGAAAGACGCTACGAGGCCAAATGCCTCCCAAGAGCTGACAACCGCGTGAGCCGGGATCTGCTCCAATTATAGTTATTAGGCCCGCAGTCAAATGACAAGCGCAATGACATGCCGTTCCCATATTCCGCGCTGGTACTTCGTCTGAGCAGGAGAATCCGTCACGTGAAAAGGGCGCGGCCCAGCAACAATTCCAGTGACAGCAAACCTAAGTGTCACGTAATTATCAAGCCAACATCCAGTACGGATGATGAAATCGCGGTAATTAATGTCAATTTTAGTGCGCATGCTGTCGCGTGGCTGCTACGGATTATAAATACTGCGTAATCTGTGCATGCATCACCGGTTATCTCTGATGAAGCGCTCAAGCCAGAATCCAAAACGTCAGGCAAATAAACTTCTTCTTTCAGCCATCGCATTCTCTTCTTCTCACATGCTTCTAGGGTCTCGCCTGTTCGTTTCTATCATGAAGCCTGTTGAAAGCAGCGAAATCTCCTACATGGCCATACATGCGTGCATTATAATGACAAATAAAGAAACTAACCTCGAGTTGGACGATATCCTTTTTGCCAAATATGTCAAAGACGGCGGGCAGACAGAAGCTCAGGGTGATCTGAAAGGTAAAGAAAATCGATTTAAAGCTATGCCTATGACGGAACATGTTTGATGGGAAATGAAAACTAGATGACATTAAATGTGATCAGGTGGGTAAATGCACATGATTATGCAACAAGGGTCCAATAGATCTTTTACGAAAATATTGAGTAGTCACTGACTACTCCTGTTATCCCCAGTCTCGATGTTGTCCACTGCAGGCTGGAGGGCTGCAATGTAAACTGCTCGCATTGATTGGTCAAGTTCTCAGTCCTTCCTGGCTATCCTTCAGCCTATTAAATTTACGCCATGCCACATACCCCACTGAGTAAATAGGACTCCCGACCTGTGCTGCTTCCCGTTCTCAATACATCTGCTGCCCACAAACAAACTTCTATTTTGTATTCGTAAAATACACCACCGGGTTACAGATATTTGGAGCCGGCTCACACACAGCCTGGCTTCTGTGTCAATTACGTCGTCTACCGAGTTGCGCAGTGCCAGAAAAGAGTGACCCCGGCGAAATAACCTTATCTATGAATGATACTCACGGTTCTACCGCTCACTCCTCGGGAAGCGACCAACACCGCTCTGCGCACCAACACTAAGGCAAGCTGACCCAACATCTACAACATGTTCTAGGCCGGAAACTGGCGCGTAGCTTGTTCGGCGGAGCGTCCGGGGCCTGTCTGCACTCGAGTTTACAATTTGTCCATCTCTCTTCGAAAGTACTTTTCAAATAGGACCAGCTGCAAAATGCTCGTCCCCATTACCCATCACATAGTATGTGTCAGTATACGACCATAAATAATATTCCAGATCGCGACCGACAAAGAAGCGGGCCTCTATTTCAATGATAGAGTGTTACACCCGATGACCAAAGGGTCGCGGGTTCGAATATCGGGGGTTGCCAGACTTGGGATTGAGTGCGACTGGCTGACGACGACAAGTAAGCTAAAAATGGCCGTTCCGCTGTCCCTTGTCTTTGTTGATCTTACTTAAGCATATGTTATATATTTTTAGGATATTTTACCGTACGACAAGAGAATCCAGAATGGCCATTTCTGCCTCATTAGGCGTCGTCGGCTAGATATACTCTACTAAAGTGTAGCAGCGGATATTGCCGCCACCCTCGAGTTTCGACCCTGTGTTTCTCTGGTCAGGGGCAAACGTCCTATGCATCGAGTTATCGGGCTCGACGTCTTGACGGTTGTTGATTAGGACCATACATTAGAATA